TTAGTTGATTAATACTTTTTACATAATCAGTGTATGTAACTTTTTTTTTTTTGGTTTCCACCCGGTGTCCGGTACTCGCATTGGAGTCCGACTATATTCGGATTCGCGCCGCGTAGGCCCCATTCGGGGGGGGGGGGGGGGGAAGCGCTCCCTACCAAGAATTTTTCTATACCCAGGGCTCGAACTCAATATCTCTGGTTAAGGGAAGAGCAGTCTCATCCACTGCACTACAGTGATTATGTAACTTAAACTTTACTAAAATACTATTATAAGTCTTGTATTCGTGTAGAACAATTTGGAAAGTGTACCTTATAACACACGTTTAATCTATCAATCAGAAGGGAGGGGTGGGGCCTCATTTTTATATAGTATATCTGTGTGGAAGTAGTGATCAGAGGACAAAAATCTACAGGTGATAATATCAATAATGAGAGAGGGTAAAGTTAGGAGACAAGAAAATGACCGAAGTCAGTGGTTTCTTGAACTAAAGCAGATAAAAAGAAAGAGGAAGATTCTCCTTTTACTAGACAGGCACTCTTTATTTGATTATGATTTTTGAACAAACACTACTATGAGAGACACAGGAACATACATGTACAGACAACGATTGCAAACTTGCAAAGGCTAGTAATTTATTGCTGCGCAGTGAAAATTTATGGTTTTTCGTTTGTTACTATCTGGGGATTCTTGTAATTATCCCATTCTTGGGGGGTGGTCAGTTAATTCTCATAACACAGGTATTGCAAAGGGAACTGTGAACTGACCCTCATGTACAGTTTTTTTTAAGGGAAAAGATACTTATATTAATAATAATAACAGTAGCAAGCTAGGATATGAGTCCCATAGCATTGTCATTAGTACATACTAGAGAAATGCCTTCTAGGGCACATTCATTGCCTAATGCCGCTAGATTACTACACACATTCATAGAACACGACCTAACATATATATGGCCATCCTGGTCCTTGCAATAAGCATCCATTGCGCAGGTAGGAGGTGACATAAAATAACAAGTTTTATTATAACTAGGAGACATTAGGGCTTCTTTTGCTAACTGGTGTGCTACCATGTTCCCTTCACGAAAGCTATGCTTCATTTTGATCCCCCCTTGCTGCGTTGCCTTTTCCATTAACCGCCTGCATTCATGAATTAAATCATATAAGTAGGATAATCCTCATAAAGGAAGCGAATGACCTCTGTGGCATCTGTTTCAACTTCAACTGGAAATATGTTGTCCTTGATAATTAATTGAAGTGCATGCCGTAGTGCTTGGAGTTTAGCCTGGATGGGTGATGTTGTGGGATACTTCTCATAGTAGCCTAGTATCCATTCGCCTTTGTTGTTGCGTATTATTCCGGTGACACCTCCCTGTAAACAGTTATTGTTGAAGGCTCCATAAAAATTGAGCTTGTACCAATTGCTTGGAGGAGCCTGCCACTTTACTTTTAGCTTGACCTTTATATTATTAGTAGTAGGCTTGGATGTTAGTAATTTATATTCCAATGATTGGTTAATAATGTTGGTCATGTTAATGTGATTGCTAGTATGTTCACGTTATTTTCATTTCTGTTTCTCCAAATCGCCCATAATACAAATGGAAAAGTTTCTTCCCATATGATGAATTTGTTTAGTATGTTAGGATTCATATTACGTAAGAAGTCTACCCAGTGTCCATTGTCTAGTTGGTTGTTTATGGGCACCCCCATGGATTGCCAGAAGGTTTGAACCACCGTGCACTCCCAGAAGATGTGAATTGTGGATTCATTCAAGTTCTTGCATATGGGGCAATTTGTGTCTATGTTGATACCAATTTTACCAAGGTATCCTCTAGTAGGGAGATGTGAGTGATAGCATTTCCATAGGAAGAACTGGATTTTCCTTGGACATTTTGTGCCCCAAATCCAATTGAAGTTTTTATTTGGATGGAGTTGTTTGTCAATCAATTTATAACAAGAAGAGGTTGTGAATACCCCACTAGGGTTCATACTCCAGATGAGATTATTGATATGAGTGTGGTGGGTGGTTGTAGATAAGGAATGGATGCTATTAATAATGCTTTGTGGGAGATCAAAAGAAATTCTTGTTAGATCCCATCCATTGTTATTCCGGATGTCTTTCATTTTTAAGCAATGTTCATTATAGGTTAGGGGACCAACTATATTATCTCTAAGGTCGGTGATGTTTGGGATCCAGTTTGTGTCCCAAATATTCATGTTTGGTCCACTGGCCACCTTATACCTTACTTACATATGGTCCAGCCTTTTAATAGGCTTTTCCAAGCTAATAAGAACACTAGCCTAGAGGGATGACCAGTTATTAAGAATACGCCCAGCTAGGCTGGCCAGAAGGGCTACATTTTTAGATTTTGCTTTTTTAATCCCTAGACCCCCCTCGTCCTTTGGGTTTATTACCACATTCCAACCAATTAAGTGAATTTTTTTCTTTTCACTAGTAATCCCCCATAAAAATTCTCTCTGAATCTTATCAATTTCCTTCAGTATTTTACTAGGAAGTAAGGATGATTGCATTTGGTGATTTGGGATTGTGTTAAGAGTGGATGTTATTAAAGTGTACCTTCCTGCCATGCTAAGCCACTTAGCATTCCAATTATTTAACCTTGCCCACATTTATCAATTACGGGTTGGTAGTCTTTATGCTTAGGGTGGTTATAAAGCATGGGAAAACCTAGGTAAGTACCAAATGATTTGTTAAGTTTTATGTCAAACGTGTTTGTGGCCATTGTGATATTATCTTTAGTGCAAGACTTTGACACCAATAATTTGGATTTACCTTTGTTTATATTGAGCCTGGAGAGGTAACAGAAACTTTCCATACTATTCCACATAGTAGTGATTGTTTTATTGTTTGCATGACCTATTAAAGTTAGGTCGTCTGCAAAAAACAAGTGGGACAAGGGAGGACATCTTTTGTTAAGTCTAATGGGGTCCCAATTATGGATATCAACTTGATGTTCAATATTTTTGGACAACATGTCCATACATAAGATGAAAAGATAGGTGCATTGGGTCACCCTGTCTAATTCCTCTAGAAGGGTAGAATTCCTCCATTTTATTTCCATTTACTAAAATGGAGACAGTACTAGTTGATATACAATTAAGAATTAGGGAAGATATATTAGGAAGAAAGTTAAAAATTTTTAGAGTTCTGTAAACATATGACCACTCTAATTTATCAAAAGCTTTTTTTAGATCGAGCTTTAGTATGCAATTCTCTTTTCCTTTATGCGTGTTAAAACGTTTTAACACTTCTTGGATAATGATAGCATTATTACTAACTCGCCTATTTTAACAAAGCTACCTTGCTGATCATTAATAAGATGTTTTAGGAAAGGCTTGATGCGATTGGCAATAATTTAGTGACCACTTTATACAAAGTGTTACAAAGGCTGATTGGCCTAAAATTTTTTAATTGGTTTGCATTAATGAATTTAGGGATCAAACATAAGTAAGTTTTGTTAATTTGATGAGGCTTAACCTTTGTGTCAAAGATATTTTGGCACAAATTTATGACCTTACTGCCTAGAATTGGCCAGAACTTCTGGAAGAAGAAAGGGGTGTAGACCATCAGTTCCAGGTGCCTTGTTTGGCTTGAAGGAGAAGATAGCTCTTCTAATCTCATGATTCTTTAATTTACTATCAAGGATAGATAGGTCAACTTTGTTGTAGGTAGTGTTGTCTGATTGAATGGCTTTCCAGTTAGTATTATCATGAGACGTAGTAAAGATACTATGGAAGTGATTAGAAACATATTTTATTAGGGCAGTTTGATTTTCGATCCAATTTCCAGAGTTATCTTTAAAAAAGATAATATTATTTCTTCGTCTACGTTTAGTGGGTTGAATATAAAAGAATTTTGTATTTGCATCCCCTTCATTTAGCCAATTAACCCTAGAGCGTAATTTACAGTAGTCCTCTTCTAATTTAAGCATTATGTCATAATCTTCAATAAGATTTATTTCTAGATCTCTAAGGTATTGACTAGTTTGGTAGCTAGGAGAGATTCGAAGACCATTAATACGTTTTAATAATCTTCTTTTCCTAGCAAAAGTATTTCCAAAGGTAACTTGTTTCCATTCTAATACATTTTGGTGGAAAGACTCCGTTCCATCAATTATATCCTTATTTGCCCAACTATCAGAAACCACTCTAGGAAAATCTGGGTGGGAGCACCAGAAGGTTTCAAGTCTAAAAGGCCTATCATGGTTATATTAATTTTATTATTAAGGTTGACCAAAATGGGGTTATGGTCCGAGTGTAATTTAGGAAGATGTGTTACTGTAACATTGGTGAACTCTTGTAACCACTCAGAATTGGAGTATACCCTATCTAGTATTTCCATGATTAGGCCTCCTTTTCTCCTACGATGGTTGGACCATGTGTATTTACACCCTTTAAACCCCGGTCTTAAACTTAAAGGAACACAAATTAGTTGCTGAAAGTGATACTTTTCCACTGCCTTTGCTGCGTACATTTATACAGTAGATTTTTGAATCCAAATCTAAGTAGATAAGTACAATATATATTTACACGAGAGTTAGAATGTCACAAAAGCTAGGACTCTAATTGATAGCAATTTAAACTAATTGAATCACGTGGATAGTGAGAAGCTGTTATGCTTTTGAATCCCTTTACCGGGCAAGATGGGCTGGATGGAAAGAAGACCAATCTTGTTGACTTATTGGAGGAACTGCCGCTTAGGTAGGGCCTTGATAAATGGATCTGCTAATTGTTCACCTGTTGGTATATATCACACAACAATTTCTCCCTTGGAAACTTGGTCTCGAACAAAATGAAGTCAATGGTTACATGCTTTATCCTACTATGGAAAACAAGATTTTTACAAAGATAAGTAGCACCAATATTGTCACAATATATAACTAGTAACTTGAGCTGCTTTAGAGAGAGTTCACGTAGAAGATTAGAGAGCCAGTTCACTTCAGCCACTACAGTAGCCACTGCTTTACATTCTGCTTCAGTAGATTATCTAGCAATTGTACGCTGCTTTTTGGATGACCAACTGACCGGATTAGAGCCAACAAAAATTAAGTGGGCTGATGTAGACATGCCATCATCATGGTTGTCGGCCCAATCATCATCAGAGAATGCTGTCAGGGACAAAAAAGAAGACTTCTTGAAGTGTACGCCATAAGTTATAGTGTGTTTCAGGTTTTGAAGAAGCCTTTTGACAGCCTGCCAATGCTTAACAGCTGAAGAGTGCATGAATTGAGCTAGCTTGTTTACCGCAAAGCAAGTATCTAGACGAGTGAGCCACAGGTATTTTAAAGCACCAATATCTTTTCCATACTCTTTTGCATCTGTTGGAGCAGAGCCATCATTGAGAGACAGCACTGATGAAGTAGATAGTAGAGTAGACACCCCTTTAGCATCTAACATGTTGTGGCGTTCTAATATATCAGATATATATTTGTGTTGCGTCAGAAGTAAGCCACCATTGTACGGATTTAACTTCTACACCGAGGAGTATTGTAGGCTGCCCAAATCTTTAAGAGAAAACCGAGAGTCCAATCTAGTAATAATAGACTGAACAACAGACCTCGAGTTACCTGTGACAATAATATCGTCTACATACACTAGAAAAAATAGCAGAGAGTCACCACAATGATAGATGAACAAAGAGTTATCAGAATGAGCATTAGTAAAACCACACGAAAGCAAGTAAGAACGAAGCTCCAAATACCAAGCACGGGGAGCTTGGCGTAGACCATAAATAGCTTTCTTCAAGAGGCAGACATGATCTGGAAATCGAGAATCCACAAAGCCTTGAGGTTGTTTCATAAAAACAATGTCATGCAAAGTACCTTGTAAAAAGGCACTGTTGATGTCCAACAGGTGGATAGGCCAACCGAAGGTGACGGGATGGAGATAATAACACGAATTATGGTATATTTTGCTGCGGGGCTAAATGTGGAATCGAAGTCAAGGCCTGGTCGTTGGGTATATCCTTTGGAGACAAGGCGCGCTTTATAACGCTCCGTAGTGCCATCAGGATTGCGTTTGATTTTGAAGATCCATTTGCATCCAATGACATTATGATGAGGGGATGGGGTACCAAGGACCGAGTTTTATTGCGTTGTAGAGCATCAAAGTCTACTTGCATTGCATTACACCAGTGAGGATGTTGGCAAGCTTGACGATATGAACTAGGAGCTAATAGAAGAGGAGATTATCCTGTTGTGACTAAATAATCAAAGAACTCTTTTGGTTTGAAAATATTGTTCATTGACGTATTACTGGTCGATTTTGGTTGGGTGATAAAGCAGACTGGTTAGTTGACATTTGTGGAGTTGTGGTTATTTCAAAAGAAGTGGTTTGAGCATGAGTTGAGTATTGAGGTTGAGATGGGCAGGTGTAGTTTCCAGTAGTGTTAACAGTAAGTGTTTGAATGGGTTGTGCAGGGAGTGAAACAGGTAAAGGAGAAGAGAAAGGTTAAGTAGTTACATGGGATGGTGATACAGAAGGCTCATCACTGATCAAGGCAGAGCAATGAGAATCTCTGTTCATCGGCGCCATTTGTGTTTCATCAGATAGGAGATCTTTGGAAGGAATTTGAACTTCTCCAGTAAGTGGAGAAAATTCTGCACGATGAATTACCTAGGGATCTAGTTGTGTAGGATTGACACGAGGTAGAGTAGTTTGATAGTTTTTGAAGGGGAATACTGACACTACAAAAATGACATGGCGAGAAGAGTAAAATTTCTGATTTTGAGGATTGTAACAAATGTAACTTCTTGACATTTTTTCATACCCCATAAATACACATGGTTTTGACTTATTGTCTAACTTGTCACTTGTGTATGGCCTAAGCCATGGATAACATAAACAACCGAGACACAGAGTTTCGAGTAGTTGGGAGCAATGTTAAAAAAATATTTGATAAGGTGAGTTATTTTTTAGAATCGGTGAGGGCATGTGATTGATTAAGTATATGGCTTCTTGACATGCTAGTGACCAAAAATGAAGTGGAACAGATGCATGGTGTAGCAGAGTAAAAGTCGTCTCTATGATATGAAAATGCTTTCGTTCAGCCGTCCCAACATGTTAGGGAGTGTATGGTGGGATGATGAAATGTTGAATGCCCAGGCGATTAAGTAAAGAACATAGACCAATGTATTCGCCACCACCATTACTATAGACAGAACGAATTGATGTATTAAAGTATCGTTCCACCTGATTTTTAAAGTTATCAAAGATGTCCATGATATCAGATTTTTGTTTAACTATGAAAAGCAAAGAATACTTCGTATAGTGGTCGACAAAAATAATGTAGTAGCGAGACTTATCAAAGGAAGGAATAAGAGAGGGTCCCCACACATCTGAATACAAAATGTCAAGAGGTCTATTGCAAAGTATTTATTCCAAATGAGAGACGATGACTCTTATTACATAAGCAAGAATCACAAAAGGTTAAAGACTTGGATGTAGACATCAAAATATTCAACAACGAGACCATTGACGTTGTGACGCAAGGTTGAGGATGACCAAAACGAGTATACCACAAATGTAGTGGTGGATGACTAGTTGACGTTGCAAACAGAGTGGAAGGTGGTGACTGTTTGGCGACACGATCAAATTATGGCCATTCGTACAGATCCCCATTATTATGGCCTTGAAGAAGTGATCCCCCCCTTCTCAGATCCTTCATGTTATGACCCAAAAACCAACCCTGTCGAGATGACACCTATCGTGGTACTAGGCAAGCCGACACATCACCAAAACAAAATGAGATTTTCATTTTCAAGTAAATTCCCAAAACTATTTAATATAAAGCCTTCATAAGGAGTGTAAAACAAAACAAAAGTGCGGAAAATAAAGCCCAACATCGGGATGTCACTATACATGAGCATCTACTACAACCGTCTGGAAATATGAAGACTAACATAGTCCAGGAAATATTGAATACAACTAAGGGAAGATAAAGATGGAAGAAAGCAAGGCTGCGATCGCCAGGCAGCTACCTTGCTAACTCCGATAGATCTGCAACTGAATAATCAACACCCGCTATCGGGTCCAGAAATACCTGAATCTGCGCACATGTTGCAGATAGTAACGTGAGTACGCCAACTCAGTTAAGTAACCAAAGTAAATAAAGGCTGAAAAGCAGTGACGAGCAATAAAACATATCAAGTTCATATCATGAAATCTCAGTAAAATACAACAGGTTTTTAAAAGCAGAGTTTGAATCAAATCATTTCGTTTAAACTCAGTTTCTAAAAAATCATTTGAAGATATTTTTCAACAGTTCTCAAACAGAGGCTCAGTGCTGTAGACATGTGATTTTTGACCCTCCCCAAGATTTTTTATATTTTAGCACCTATATATTTAATTTAGGCCTAACATAGCTATTTCAACTCATTTTGACTCTTTTACTTTATTTTATTACAAGAAAAATGAAAATTACAAAAAAAACATTTAGTTCATGTACTTTTCATAATTTTTTTAAAAAAAAATAAAAAAATAGTACCTTATTTTTATCTTTATATAATTTCGAAAACACAAAAATAGTTTCATGTTTAGTTTAATTAATTAGGATCAGTTTTGGCATTGTGTAGTATTCCTATCTTATTTTAAAAGACATTGTGTAGTCTAGGGACCCTTCTAGACTATTCTTTGGAACAAAAAATAAATAAATAAAAAGACCCTAAGAACTTAACACAAAAAGACCTAGGGACTAATTGGCAAAATACACAAAATAAACCCTAGACCTAAGACTCTACATATACACTAATCAGAAAAATGAAGCGCAACTTTGGGAGGGACAAAAAAAAATACGCCTGGAAAACAGAAAGCTTGCGCCGCAGTTCAGCAAGAACACGACCCCCCTCCCTTTGAGCCATCATCTTCTTCATTAGAGCCAACACCTAAAAACGAGCTGATCTTCTTCGAAAAGACTTTAGACAAAAACCATAAATGGGAGACTAGTGAATCTTCGAAGTTGGAGCTCCAACTCCATGGAAGCAAGACAAAAACGCTAACTCCTTTTACCACTAAAAATCTCCGCTGCGTCTCCTTCAACCCAAAAACCCGCCGGAAAACGAGCAACTCTGCCATTCCTTCACCACCAAAGGCGTCTTTCAAAACCAGATCAGTACAACCCCAAATCAGTCCCAAAGAAACTCAAAATCCAAGCGTAAGTTTAGTTTTTTGTCATTCTGATCTAGTTCGATAATTCCAGCGAGCTTCAAGGTTGTCTGTGGTCGTTGTTCATGGGTTCCGTTTCAGCTCCGTCCCTGGTTTGTCGTGTCTGAGTTTAACGTTGCCTCACAACTAATGTGTTGATCCATTTTGAGGTTTGGTTTCTCACTTTTCATACTCTATTTTGCTGAATAGTGTACTTCCGTCAACTTTGTTGTTCACTGTTACATGAAATGTTTGGACTAATGTTATATTGTTTTAATTTGAGAGTGTTGGTAGTAATTGATAGATTGTTGGCCAATTCTTGTTCAGATTATTAATTGGGTCGCACGCATTTTTGTTGGAATCAAGTCGGATTAAGTTGTTTTCTGCCCGAATATAGGTCAACCGCATTGTTTTGGCACGCCAATCCAATAAACGCCAAATAAGGCCAAGATTGCCATGTTTTCCTTCATAGATAATCGATTTTTAAGGCAATTGAAAAGGGATGTCCTACATTGAGGTTTTAGGTTGAGACAAAATTTCAGCATTCGCTGGATTGCATTCATGAACTAAGAGATGAAAAAGCATAAAGATTTATTTATTATCTTCTGTGTGCACCACTTGCAGTAGCGTTGGTTTTTGTTCTTGCATATTTTACTTGTGGACAATTTTCATACATGGTTGTTAATTGTATTACTTTCATATTCTGTAGTAAAAGGGAGATTGAATAACGTGATATCTATTTTTCTTTTTTTATTGAACATAGGTAACCTATAGCTATAAAATAAGCAACTAATGAGCTTGGTGATATGTTTTAGGCGCGTTATTTTAATAAATTACCTTCCTAAATTCGGGTGCACATTTATATGACCCAAATCCAAATCTCAACGTTAGATAAAATGTGTTATGGGCTACGGGTGCATTTATGTGACGTGGCTCGAAGCATATTTTAAATAGTGTTGCAATCTTTCTTAAAATAATTAAATAAAAGCGGTCAAAAGATAAAATTGCCCATAGGTTTAAAATGTATTAAAATCAGATAATAGGCCAGTTATAACAGTTGAGCGACCGTGCTAGAACCACGGAACTCGGGAATGCCTAACACCTTCTCCCGGGTTAACAGAATTCCTTACCCGGATTTCTGGATCGCGGACTATAATACAGAGTCAACCCTTTCCTCGATTCGGGATTTGAACCGGTGACTTGGGACACCAAATAAACTATCCCAAGTGGCGACTCTGAATCTCTTAATAAACAATCCCGTTTCGATTGTCCTTTAATTGGAAAAACTCCCTTATACCCCTTCCGGAGGTGTAGGAAAAAGGGAGGTGTGACAGCTCTGGCGACTCCGCTGGGGAAACAAACTCAGAACTTCGGTTCAGAGTTCAGAATTCGAGCTTATATATATTGTTGTATTTGGCTTTATGTGATTTTCCTACATGTTTCATGCTAAATGTGCTAAATGCTTTACCGCTTTGATATTATTTGAATTGTATATAAACTGTGACGAAACCCTTCTCTTCTCATCTCCGGGGATGTGCTTACTGGTTGAGACTCTCTATTCTGTTAGTGTCATACCTTAAAATAAGAAAGAGGCCGGACAAGTTACTAAGCCGGATGGCCTTTTGGTTCTTGGTACGTAGCCCCCTCCTCGACTCGAG